TTCCTGGCAATGGGGATGTTTCCTTTTATACAATATCTCTTTAAACGCATTTTTAATCTCCTCTAAAGGAATTGTTTTCTTCAACTGTTTCTCTTATTTGGTTGGTTTCGAAAATTTGCCTTTTGCTAACTAATTATATTTTTCCTCTAAATTACAAAAATACTTCTATAGAGGATACTATTTTCTTACATGAATACAAGTTAAAATTTCAAATGCATTTGTCCTTTTCTGTTTCTTGCTAGTTCTTCCTCTTATCTAATAATCTGCATCTTCCTTGTCTAGATTCAGAGCCCCTTAGTAGCACTTTTCTTTGGTTTTTGGGGACATACTGCACCATTCTTCAGATCCTAGTCTAGTGAACTCTTTTCCCCTGCCTGCAATGTGGGGTTAAGACAATTTAGGAATTTGCTATATTTTGGTGTCTGTCATACTATAAGCTATGAGAAGTTTCAAACGACTGGCGAAATGGTGGACGGATACTGGACACTTCCAAAATGAGAACTGTTACAGCATTTATTAGTGACACTAGAAAACACTTTGCCAGACAAACATAGGAAGAAAGGACAAATCCCAGAAGAGGATCTGGAAGTGACATCTCCAAACATCAGCTTTATACTACCCCTGTTGATAGTCATTTTTAATATTAAGAAAAAAAAATTTCTGTTGTGAGTTGTTATGGTAAAAGAGGGCATGTACATTGTACCTTGTACTATAGAAAAAAAAAAAAAACCCGGTATATGAAAGCTTTGTCTTTAGATGGAGATTTTGTAATGCCTGCTCCCATTTTACAGAGTCATCATGACATCAATGATGTTGTTATGCGGTCAGTGATGTCAATATGACTCAACTCACTTTGGGTTTTTCGTGTTTTACAGGAACCTCAGAAATTCCTCATGTAAACAATCAGACAATTGAGCAAACTGACCTGCAAACACATATAACAGAAAACAACTACAGTTCCCCTGCTACAGCACACGATTTAGATTGCCTTCTATACCTTTGTGAGTTTAACAGTGAGGGGAAAGTTCTGATCTAGGAAAAAGGGAATGGGTTATAGGAATTTTAGATTCTAAATAAATTTTAATCACCAACTGGCAAAATGTCATTTGCTTATAATGAACCCTTGCATTTTCCTCTGAAAAACTGAAAATACAACATATAGAGGGTAGGAAAGTCCCTGCCCATTACTGAGAAATTTTTCTAATAACGAGACTATGTACCTCACGGGAAGGAAAAAAGTGAATTGTCTAAATATAGCCTAGTGATTTATTAGCATATGAATTTGCTTTGCCTTCCCAGTTGTAAAAGTGAGGGAGAGGGAAAAGAAAGGAGAGAATGGGAGAGGAAATGAGAGTGCAGTGGAGGGAAGAGAGAAAAAGGGAGAAAAGAAAAGGAGAGAGAGAAAGAGAGGAAGGGAAGGCAAGAGGAGGGCATTGGAGAAAGAGGAGAGATGGCCAGAGGAGGGAAAGAGGAGGTGGCAGCAGGAAAGGAAGGAGAGGGGAAGGAAGGGCAGATAAGGGGAGGGGGAAGAAGAAAGGAGAGATAAGTTTGTGTGTGCTCTGTTTTTTATACTTTCCCCTCCCCATATAGAGAAGATGCTATGTTCCTTGGCAGAAATTGCTTAAGGCAAATCTCCTGACCTAGCATTTGAGAAAGATTTTGTTATGTCATATTGGTTATCCCCAAGGGGAATTTTGGAAAGAGTGATTGGGTATGCAGGGCCCTGGGATACATGAGGTGAGGGGAAAGGAGAGGCAGGAGGGCAGAGAGAAGGAAGCTAACTGGCCCCTCCCATCTGGGAACTTCCCAACACCCTGTGTAAAGAAGAAGGAAGAGTTCCAATGATGAATGACTCAGAGTAAATTTTCCTCCTAAGAAGTCACATGTGAGCTCTGCATTTTTATTTAACTAAGAAAAATAGTGTATTGTGAAATTTTCTGTTTACCCAAGTTTGAGACTGCAGTATTTTTTTTTTATTAGTTCTTTCCTAACTTGTCCCTGTCTTTAATCACGTTGCTCATTTCACATACTGAGCACCAAGCATTAGAGTGTTATGATCAGACTGGTAGTACAGCCGTGGATTCTTACAGAAAGAGTTTGCTGCTCTGAATTTAATTTTGGTAATGATCCAGCAAGCACCCATTTTAGTCTACTAAATGCTAGGTACTGGCCTAACTATGGCAAAAAGGCCCTGAAGAATAAGAATAAAGTTAATAGTTCAAGATTACCTTTTGAGATGAAAAAACTTCCCCATATTTCCAATAATCAATTTTTATAAAATAAACTAAATCTTAATTTAAAAAAATAAAACAAATTAACCAATTTAATAGATATTTATTTAGCTCCATACCTAGGTAGAGCTCTAAGGAGGATAAAATCAGTCTTTTCCTCTCAGAAACATATCATGTTATCAGCAGGATGGCATACCTGGAAATTAATAGACAACTGGGAATTGTAGAACAGCTTATTTTGGCAACACTTTTTTTTCTTTCTGTTTCCAAAAGGAAGGAATGGTAGCTCACACTGTTCTCTGTTTAACCTCCACTGCTGGCCCTGCAGTGGGTCTTGCTTTCACCCCCGACCCCCCATGACTTGTTCTCTCACAATTCCCTTCTGTATTTAGGGGCCTATGTTATTATACAAGTTTTGCTCCCCATTACATCCCTGGCATTTCACTTTGTGCTTGGTACAAAGAATATGCTTAATATTTTTCTTGAATGAATGAAGATGTCAACTGAAGAATGACAGGTTTGTACGTTTGGAAGGGAGAACTTCATTTCACATAAAGGGCTGCAGCCTCCAGGGTGGCAGTTCTGACCTCTGAAAAGCGTAGCCTCTGGTCAGAAACTGGAAACAGACATTTTGAGGGAGGGGCAAAGGATACAGAAATTTATGTTGAGCAGGGTAGCTGAATATACATATTCAATAAGCTATAGAGGGAGCCATGAATGTTTATGAAAGGAGAAAAGTGTGCATGCACAATGGAGTTTCATGCCTCTCCATGGGATCTGTGTTCAAAAAATGACAGCATTAATACAATCTGAGGGGGCAGTTTTCAGCCCAATATGAAGCAGAGGACATGAAAGCCTTTACTGCACATTCTCCATAGACTAGCTGGAAACGCTCCATCATCAGTGTTCTTTTTTTGTTCCAAACCACAAAAGGGAGGGATAACATCAGGTGATGGTTGATGTCATTGGTGGAGTCTTTTGAAATGACTGGTTTCTGTTTAGCCATAGGGCAGAAAGTCCAATCGTAGTTAGTGATAGAGGAGGTATGTGTTCCACTTCCTATACTGTCATGGCCAAAAACTTAGTTTTCAAGTTTACTCTGGGGTCCCCTTGGCCAAGAGCGTGTCCGTTCAGTTAGTCTAGGGGCTTAGGATTTTATTTTTATTCCTCAAATGTAACAAATTTAAAGAAAAAAAGAAATTTGTAAAACATAAGAAATAGAAGTATAGCTTAGACCTCCAAGCAAGTTCTTTAAAGGTGACAGAGTTAAACAGTAGTTTTTAAGATAATATTTTGATGAAATTTTTAATCATATGATTGTAAGATTTTAGAAGAAGCAAGATCTTGTGAAAACAAAACCTCGATGTCCATATCTGTCTCTCTAAATCTATAGTCAATCCTTTAAAAGAGTGACACAAAAATGACCCAGATTCGCCCTCTGGTTCATTCCCCATACATTAGAGCCTGGTAATCTTCCAAAGTTTTTACAGCATAAGGCATACACCACATAATAGATGCAAAAAAAATTACACCTTCTGAATTTTCCTGAATGGATTCAAATTTTTACTCTTCTAAGTCAATCAATTGGTGGACTACTTTCTTTATAGGATTGTTGCAAGGATAGGATTGATGAAGTGAAATATACTTTCTTTTCCCTGGTTAATTACTCCTATTAAAGTAATTGCATGCACTTTATCTGCCTCTCTTGGAAACTGGAGAGTAGTACTTTCTGTCTGGTTTCTTAAGATTAAAAAAAGACAATATGTCACTTTTGACTTAAGTGTCATGGTACCTATGGCTTTCTACCTGCATGGTTTTATCATCTCAATAATCTTGGGAAGAAGGTATTTTTATGTTTATTTGATAAATAGGTGACTGAGCCTCCACAAGGGTTAAGTGAATTGCTCAGGGTTATACAATGAACACTTGATAGAAATGATTAAATGACACTTTACTTGATTTGTTGTGGGTTGCTAAACAAAGCATAGGTGTGCATAAGTCATTCAATTATTCGGGCACAGTCTTCATCCTTAGTCCAAATATCGAAAGTCTTTGCTCTTAGTTTTTATAACTACAAGGATATTCATCAAAAGACGCAAGCTCAAGAATAAGCCTAAAGAGGTAGTCAAAGTAGAACAAAAGACAATTCACAGACTTAAATGAACAATTTGCATTAATGAAGTTTGCCAGGCTAGTTTCCACTTGAATCTTCAGATTTTCTTTCTTCCTTGATTGTCTTGTTAACTGTCCAGATTTATTACCTAGGAGTTTTTTTTTTTTTTTTTTTTTTTAATTCACATGTTAGGCAATAGAATGTATTCTGGAATTGAGAGCCTATTTTAAATTTTTGACTAAAAAGTTTACCCATTAAATGTCATCGATTCGGCCATCAGACTGAAAATTCTGTGTATTTAACGGAGGGTACTGTCTCAAAAATCCAGAGCTCAAACTGAAGAATTAAGGCAAAATTTGGAATTTAGCTCTAGGACAAACTCATCAGTTCAGGGGTCAGAGATTTATATCGTTAAAGGACAAGTGCGTGTTTACCTGAGTTTAAAGAGCAAAGTTGCTTCTGGAAAGAAGCCCTCACTGGAGGCTCTGGCATTTGAGATGGGGGCAGGAGCACACGTTGCTTAAATTTCTGACAGTGGCTGGAGATTACAGATTGGTTAGGGGAGAGGAAGTAAAGTACAAGTATGTTTATAAATTCTCCACTGGGTGGAGTCTGAGCAGTTCTTTGAATTTCTTACTCTAAGATCTGGCCTGTACATTTGCAAGGAATTCTTGAGAGCTTCCTGGACAGATTCTGGGAGCCAAGCACCCCATTGGAATCCTAGCTGGTAAGCTTGAGGCGCTGATAAAATCTCTCTACCCTAATGTTTACTCCATATTTTTTCCAAATGAAACTTCTGTCAGCTAGAATCCTTGTCATAGTGTTTTAGAGTTGGGTTTTTTTTTTTTTTTTTTCCTGCTGCTCTCTTCTTTTATTTTCATATTATTTTTGTAAATAAAACTGGTATGAACTTCCTAAAGGCCCCGCCTTTAGAAATGGGTTAAATGAAGAGATCTTTACCAATGTAATGGAAAATAACTGATGTCCATAGTGCACTGAATGTGGTTACATTTGACAAACCAAAGTTAGTCCTGTTCTTATTTGAGTTTAAACGGCAAGATTAGGTCAAACTCCAAATGAGGGAAAGATATTCTTAAACAGATGTTAAGTCTACTGTTTTCTGGTAACTTTAATTGTCTTATGCCGCTAGTAGTCATACTAAATATTTATTTAGAGAAGTGAAAATGCCTATTCTTGAACAGAGTTTCTTCCCCTTTCATTTTATGAAACCTAAGAAGAGAAAGTTGATACACTTTTAAAAAATATACTAGATTTTCTTTTTTCCTTTCTGCTTTTATTTTGAGACCAATGGGGTGTTATTTAATAGTAACACTGAAACAAATGTATTGATTTCATTAATGTGTTCAGAAAGTAATTCATATTCTAGATATGAAATATACACTTGTAACACAGTAATGTTACCCATTTCTCAATGATATGCCTAAAGAAGCTTTCTGAATATGCATATTGTTTTTCCTGTTTTATTAATGAAAAACTACACACTTTCTCGACATATTTTTAAGTGAGGTTCTAAACTTTGAACTCCTATGTACAATTTGCTTATTTCAGGCGTGAATGTGAAACTGTGTAAAGATTAACTATTGGACACTCATGGTCATTTATTTAACTATTTAGCCCTAAATCAGTGGGTGACTAGGAGATTCTGAATTCTGTTATTTTCTTAAAATCAATCAGTTTTTAATTATTATACAAGCTTTTTACTTTAAAGTTGTAGCTGTCTAAATAAAACTGTGAAAGCACAATTTCCAAACCTCAATTGAAGGCACATTGGTGCTGTCCATCAGAAGGTATTGATAATTTTTTAAAAATTACGAACTATCTTTTATCTTTTTATAAAGGACCTAATGTCACTTGAGTTTAACCATAATCCTTTGAAGAAAGTAAAATTTAACTTTCAATAAAATTGACATACAGAGCAGTTAGGTGACTTGCCTGACACCATATGGTATGTATGTCACCTCTCTTGATAAAATTAACATTAAATATGTAAAATTTGAAAATTTGTAAAATATGTAAAAGTCGAAGGTTTTAAGAGTTTGGATTTAATGTCTTCATTTCAAAATATGAGCATGTCGCTTTATTTGCAAACCAAACATGGCATAACATTATGGCTTGTGAACACTAATTGTCTTAGCTGCTGGAGTGAGTGCAGACTTAAGCAGCAATTAGTATGAGTGAATAAATTGCATCCTTAGAGTGAGTGCACTGTGCTATCCTGGGAACTAAAGACTGTATTTGAGTCTATGAGAAGTTGTGCACAGTGGTGGAGTAGGGCAGGGTGCTGTCATTTGGAAGACTATGCCCATGAAGTATCTCAAGGTACCCCAGATGTGACAGGCCCAGGAACGGAACCAGCCACTTTAACTTTTGCCTGGCTGAAACTGGACTGGGAAGGATGGATTAAAAAGGGTAAATCGGCCGGGCGCCGTGGCTCAAGCCTGTAATCTCAGCACTTTGGGAGGTCGAGACGGGCGGATCATGAGGTCAGGAGATCGAGACCATCCTGGCTAACACGGTGAAACCCCGTCTCTACTAAAAAATACAAAAAACTAGCCGGGCGAGGTGGCGGGCGCCTGTAGTCCCAGCTACTCGGGAGGCTGAGGCAGGAGAATGGCGTAAACCCGGGAGGCAGAGCTTGCAGTGAGCTGAGATCCGGCCACTGCACTCCAGCCTGGGCGACAGAGCGAGACACCGTCTCAAAAAAAAAAAAAAAAAAAAGCCGGGGGGGGGGTCAATCAATTCATACATAACTTGTGGTCCTTTGCAGCTTGAGTGTAGGACTGAAAAAAGAAGCCAAAGAAAAAGGGAATGAGCTGAACAAATACACACACATACACACACACACACTTCAGGAAGCAACATGCAAGGAAAAATAAAGTGAGAGGTTCAAGGCTCCGATGAGGAATTGTGCTCTGTGCGTTCCATTCATGGGCTTTGCCGAAGACCAGCACAATGGACGCAGCATCTCAGGCATGGTTAAGTACCCTACTGTGCACTCTGCTATCCTTTTAGTCCATTGTTGTTTCTACTCTGTCTGTGCCAGGGTTTCGTCTTGATATGGAGGAAAAGGATTCTAATGCCTCAGGATTATTACAAGGATTAAATAAGATACAGATAGAATGACGCTAATGAGTATCATTTTTAAAATAAGGAAAGCTGAAATTTATTCAGAATCTGTTGGTAACAAACTAATCTCTTTAAGTAACCCCACTTAGAGTTTAAAGTCACCTCCAATGAACTCAAAGGACTGACTTCCCAAAGAAAGTCTCAAATATAAGGCAAACTCTCTTGATTCTGAATTTCATTAGAAATGTTTGTCTAAGTCTTTCTCATATGGTCAGAATGAGAGAGGGTGTCCTCCTAGTAATATGTCATTATGTCAAATAATTCATCAACCAATTTTGTTTACTCTCTCGAACTGCCACTTTGGCAGCAGGGGTACTCTGTCTAAATGAGGTGTCTATAAAGATAAATTAAACATGATTCAGGCCCCCAGGTGGAGTTCAGTTCAATAGGGTAGAACAGCAACTCAGTCCAGCTACCATAAGTAACATGTTTGTAGTAAGACTAATTTGATAGTAAGGCAGAAAAACATCTCATGGAATTTTAGGAATAGCCAAGAAGATGGATCCCCTAGAGCCTTGCACATAGCATGTTTCATGAAGGATTCAGTGACCCTCAAGATGGGCTTGTCCTGTCACCTTTTCAGGAGACATTGCTGCTCAATCCCTGGCCATTGTGTAACTAAGTGACTCTTACTTGTTGCTGGAATCACTTCGTGCTTTTCATGCTTTAACAATCAGTGGTTCTGTTTCACTTTGAAAAGTGAGTCATTCTATGACAGTATTCCTCCTAGACCCTAGCATTTAATAGCTTCTATATGTGATTATTTTAAATTCCAGCTCCTGTACCTAACTGAATGAATAAGCATACCCCGCAACTCAGATTCCTGAAAGAATTTGATTATATGCTCAGCTAAACATCATCACTGTTTGGTTAGATCTTTTACAGCAAATAATTCACAGATTTTTGATGAAACTATGTTGTCTTTAGTGGGTAAGTGTCCAACAGAGGTCTAATAAACTATGACCAGGCAATTGATAATGCCAAGTGGTAGAGACACAGTGATGTCTCTTCAAAATGCAGGTTCCTTCATCAGAAATCATAACCATTTAGAATCGAGTTTTAGGCATAGCAAATGTTTTCTATCTTTTCTAACCATACATATGTCCAAATAAATATAGTGCCTGGTAGAATGTATTATTCTCTTTTTTGGGTGGGGGGGAGCTTGCGGCATTTCATACTAGTTTATTTAGGGGTTCCATTTTCACTCCTCAATATATTTGATGTATTTCTCATATGCTTCGAATGTATTATTTTCATAAGTAAAGTACATAAGTGTGCTCCTAATTGTTATTGGTGTTCAGAGGAAGACAGGCTACTTTTGCCTGAGACATCGTAAGAGGCCTCTTCAAAAAAGCATTAGAGCTAGGTCTTTGAAGGTTGGCTGGAATCCAAACAAGTTGAAGGGGAGCAAAACGTTTTAGGCAAAGGAAATGGCGTGAGAAAAATCACAGAAATAGAAAATTTCATGTGGAGGACAAATAATACTTATGGTCAGATATTGAAAGCACCATCCGTCGATGTTGAAATCCTACACTTTTGTACAGAACCATGGATTGAAGCAGTTAGGAGTCACGACTGATATCAAAGTAAAAAACATGCAATGATGAAGCTTGGTATCTTTGTCTAGGAATATAAAGAATGGCTTATCAGTGGAGACCATGATAATTGAGAAAAGAAGAAGCCCAAAAAGTATAAGAATGAAAATAGAGAGTGCAAGAATAATGTCTGTTTTACTGGCATTATGTAACACTCAGATATGCACCTCTTTATTACCAAACACTGTATATGTTAGTTAAGGTAAAAGAGGAAGGGAGGCAGAAGAATGGAGATTGAATTGAATTCTAGAGCTTCAGTTCTGTGTTAGTTTTGGCCCCCAGGGATTCTAGGCATTAAGTACAGTCTGAATTGAAAAATATTAAACATATCTTGTGATCCAATATTCCCCTAAGTTATAGACTCAAATATCCAATGACCAGCTTGACATTTCTACCTGCATATTCAATACTTATTGGAAACTTAATATATCCTAAATAGAATTTTTTTAAAAAAACAGCCAGGATCTGTTGCCCAGGATGGAGTGCAGTGGTGCAATTAGCTCACTGCAACCTCAAACTCCTTGTCTCCTACCTCATCCTCCTCAGTAGCTAGGACCACAGGTGCGTGCCAGTGCCAGCACATCTGGCTTTGTGTGTGTGTGTGTGTAGCAATGAGGTCTTGCTATGTTGCCCGGGCTGGTCTCATGGCTCCAAGCAATCCCCTGCCTCGGCCTCCCAGTGCTGGGGTAACAGGCATGAACCACCACAACCAGTCCACTAAACTGAATTCCAATTTCCCTCCTCAAAATGTTTCTTCCCCAGGTATTTTTATTTCATCATATTTCACATATTTGCCCATACCCCAAAGCTAAAAGAAAGTTCCTTACCTGTCCTCACTAGAAATCATCTATCCACCAGTCCTATCTACTTTTTCTCCAAAATGTATCATAAATCCACACTCTTCCCTCTACCTTTGCCCTCATCACCAAATTTAATTCACCACCGTTTATCTCCTGAACTACTGTGTTAGCCTTAATTGGTCTACCTTTTCAACTCTTTTTTTAAATTTTTTTTTAATTATACTTTAAGTTCTAGGGTACATGTGCACAATGTGCAGGTTTGTTACATATGTATACATGTGCCGTGTTGGTTTGCTGCACTCATTAACTCGTCATTACATTAGGTATATCTCCTAATGCTATCCCTCCCCCATCCCCTCACTCCACGACAGGCCCCGGTGTGTGATGTTCTCCACCCTGTGTCCAAGTGTTCTCATTGTTCAATTCCCACCTATGAATGAGAACATGCGGTGTTTGGTTTTCTGTCCTTGCAATAGTTTTCTCAGAATGATGGTTTCCAGCTTCATCCATGTCACTACAAAGGGCACGAACTCATCCTTTTTTATGGCTGCATAGTATTCCATGGTGTATATGTGCCACATTTTCTTAATCCAGTCTATCATTGATGGACATTTGGGTTGGTTCCAAGTCTTTGCTATTGTGAATAGTGCTGCAATAAACATACATGTGCATGTGCCTTTATAGTAGCATGATTTATAATCCTTTGGATATATACCCCGTAATGGGATGGCTGGGTCAAATGGTATTTCTGGTTCTAGATCCTTGAAGAATCACCACACTGTCTTCCACAATGGTTGAATTAGTTTACACTCCCACCAACAGTGTAAAAGCATTCCTGTTTCTCCACATCCTCTCCAGCACCTGTTGTTTCCTGACTTTTTAATGATTGCCATTCTAACTGGTGTGAGATGGTATCTCATTGTTTTAATAACTCATAATGCAGCAAAGTGATTATTATTTAATGTAAAATTATATCACATTACTTTTCTACTCAAAACTCCCCAATGGTTTCCCATTAAACTTATAAAATTTCAAATTTCTTTCTGGCTCCCAAATTTCTTTGTGACTACCTTCTGCCTTTGCTTTTTGCATATCACAGTTTGTCATTCCTCCTTCCCTCTTTTTCCCTCCCTAATGCATTTAGGTGAACAAGCCAAGCCCATTTCCACCCCAGGACCTTTGCACTTGTTGCCAGCTTCCTCCAGGTCCAGGTCTTGACATGATGTAGAAATGCACATCTATCACTTTCTCAGAAAGATAAACAAGACCCTTTAAGGTAGCTCTTCCACACTCCAGTCACTCTGTCCCATTACTCTGCTGTTTCCTCATAGCTCTTAAATCTGAAACTACATTGTTTTTCTATTCTTCTGCTAAAATTAAACTGTATAAGGGTTGGCACTTATGCACTCTCTCATACAATGCTGTCCTGCCAGTGCTGGGAGCCACATAATAGGTACCAAATAAATATTGGTTGAAAGAGTAAATAAATGCATAAATTAAATGAAATCAGCAAAACTATATGTAAATCTAGCCCAAAGAAATTTTATTTCCTGCAATATCATTTTGTTCAATTTTAAAAAACCAAACTTAGGAGAAATATAAACAAACAAACAAGCTTAGGTGAAGTTTAAAACATATGTGATTAAATCTCCATTGTCATTTATCCTTTTCCAGAAAGTGGGAAATGTCGCATGATGATTAAACAGAATACAGTGTGGTTTCAAGAAACATCAAACAGTCCCGTTTGTTCTAAGATAATACATATGGTGTTGAAACAGAAAAAATTTATAATTATTAACAGCAACAGGTGGATGAATCTCTTTGGTATTCATATGAACAAAATACTAACATTTTAAGTAAAGTTACATTTTCCATGAATATGATTTTCACTCACAAAACAGGATTTTGTTCAGGTTCAATATGTCCATAGTTTTAAAACCATGATCCAAGAACAATTGGGAGTGGAACAGTGGAACTGGGATCTGGAGAAGGACAAGCTAAGTGGGATGCTGCTTTTTTACACTTTGACAAAGATCGTCCTTACCATTATCTCCTCATAAGATACCTAGAGGAAAAGGTGATGACGTTATATATATTTGGAAGCCACACGTGTGGTACATGTTTCTAGATAAGAAGAATGGAATGAGCTAACATTTACTGGGAACTTACTCTGTCCTGAGCACTATTATCTAATTTAATCATTTCATTATTTCTAAGTTACTATTATTTTGTTTCTCTTTTCTTTTTCTTTTTTTTTTCCTTTTTGGTTTGTTTTTTGAGACAGAGTCTTGCTCTGTTACCCAGGCTGGCGTGCGGTAGTACAATCCCAGTTCACTACAACCTCCGCCTCCTGGGTGCAATCAATTCTCCTGCCTCAGCCTCCCGAGTAGCTGGGATTACAGGTGCCTGCCACCACGGCCAGCTAATTTTTGTATTTTTTTAGTAGAGATGAAGTTTCACCATGTTGACCAGACTGGTCTCAAACTCCTGACCTCAAGTGATCCGCCCACCTCGGCCTCCCAAAGTGCTGGGATTACAGGCGTGAGCCACGACACCGGACTTATTTCCTTCTTTTTATATATGAGAAAAACTCATTCACGGGGTTTAACGCTGGTTGGTTAAGTATATTATTCCTGAGGTTGGGAAAAGGGGAGTCTTCGTGAAAACAAAAGGTGTATTACCTAAAGGGCTCATTTTCTGCAGGAAAATTATGGTGGCTACATTATGTTTTGTTATTCTCTTTCAGTTTTAGAGAACAACTTGTAATGGAGCCTTCACCTCTTGAGCTGCCGGCTGTCACAGTGCAGCGCATTGCGACTGAACTCAAATGCCACCCAACGGATGAGAGGGTCGCTCTCCACCTAGATGAGTTAGATAAACTGAGGCACTTCAGGGAGTGCTTTTACATTCCCAAAATACAGGATCTGCCTCCAGGTAAGAATGCTGGGAAGGTTTTTAAATTTTATTTATTTATTTATTTTTGCTACTGCATGTGTTTATTATAATCTTTGAAAATCATTGTGCTATTACATAATAGAGCCGTCGCAATTATGTTTGAAAAGCAGAAGGTCCCTGGTGTTCTCAATCAACCTGTCAGCCTACCTTAGCCTCAAATTTTCTGTTTTCTCCCCTCCTCTGAATAAAATACATACAGGGTACTTATACTGTCAACTACTTCTCTGAACAATCGAGTGACTGATTGAAAATTATAGGCAGATACATTTACTTGTTCTCTAAGCACTTGGGATTCAAAGCAATTATTTTAGAATGCAATGTTAGAATAGCTCTTATATTCTGGCACTTAGTTTATAATAATGTGATGTTTGTCTTAGAGAAAATATTATTTTGTGACCTGGATATATCAGGAGGGATGTTATTTGAATAGCCGTCTTTGCATGCTGTAAAGATGGCGAGTGTAACAGCAAGAAAAGAAACACTGAATGCCCAACAAATGCATACTGCATTTTAAAATAATGTAGTAATCTGACTCTGTTCTGGGTTTGAGGAAGTCATTTACAAAAATAAAACATAGGTAGCAAAGGTATAACAATAAAAAATGATTCATCATATTTAACTTTACTCCATTTTACATTAATAATAAAGGTTCCCAGGTTGAATGGAATTAGTCTACCAAACTAGGTTATCCTTTATAATAGTCTGATTCCATTTTTATTCAGATTAAATAAGGTACAATTTTGGGTACAGTACTCAGGATCCATGAAGATCAGCTAATAAAATTTTAGGATGTCTGGTTTGTATAACACTAATATATACCATGTAACAAATGTTAAAACACCTATTTGTCTTCAACTATGTACCCAGCAACCTATAGAACTCTGGAAGAATGAAAGAAGAGAAATACCTGTATCCTACTTAAAATTGTGTAGTATCAACTGAGGGAGACATGGATGGAAATGACAGCTAGAAGAGACCAAATAAAACGAGGCTATAAGTGAAGTGATCTGAGACCACAGAAGAAAAATCTTCTAGGTCATTCTAGAATCTAAAATTAAAAGAACATTTTGATTTGAATCATAAGGGATGAAATACTGCTAATGAGTGAATTGTGAGGAAATAAAACTTAGGAAAGGAATCCTCAGGGAAATGGGAGATAGGGGGCTTGGTGTTATGTGCATCACACAATGTGGAAACCTTTAGAAATCGCGAGGACCCACGTGAGACAAGTCAGGTCTGGTTGATGGTGGCCCTGCCCTGATGTGTTCTCTGGCCTACAGGACTCCTGTACTGAGTCAGAACCCAGTTTAAAAATAGCATTGTACAGTCTGGCGCGGTGGCTCACGCCTGTAATCCCAGCACTTTGAGAGGCCGAGGCAGGCGGATCACGAGGTCAGGAAATCAAGATCATCCTGGCTAACATAATGAAACCCCTTCTCTACTAAAAATGCAAAAAAGTAGCTGGGCGTGGTGGCGGGCGTCTGCAGTCCCAGCTACTCAGGAGGCTGAGGCAGGAGAATGGCGTGAACCTGGGAGGCGGAGCTTGCAGTGAGCTGAGATCGCGACACTGCACTCCAGCCTGGGCGACAGAGCGAGACTACATCTCAACAACAACAACAAAATAGCATCGTACTTCACTAATCACCGGGAAAATGCACATCAAAACCACAGTGAGATATCACCTCACACCCTTTTCTATGACTACTATTAAAAAGTGCAGGGTATAAATATTGGCTAGGATACAGAGTGATTAGAGCCCTTGTGCACTGTTAGTGGGAATGTAAAATGGTGCAGCCCCTGTAGGAAAGAGTATGGCAGTTTCCTCAAAAACCGAAGAATAGAATTACCATATGATCCGGCGATCTCACTTCAGGATACATTGCCAAAAGAATTAAAAGCAAGATCCCCACAAGACATTAGTACACTCGTGTTCATAATAGCATTATTCGTAATAGCCAAAAGGTGGAATTAACCCATATGTCCATCAATGCATGAAAAGACAAGCAAAATGTGTATACATATGATGGAACCTTATTAAGTTTTAAAAAGAACCGTGCTACGTGGTTCACATGAATGAACTAGGAGAACATCATGCCAAGTGAAGCAATCCAGATGCAAAAAGAAAAATACTGTATAATTCCAATTTTACCAAGTATCTAGATTGGTCAAATTCATAAAAACCGAAAGTAGAATGGTAGCTGTCAGGAGCTCAGAGAGGGAGAAATGGTGAGTTACTGTTTAATGGGTATAAAATTTCAATTTTGCAAGGTAGAAAAATTCTGGAGATTGGTTGCACAACAATGTGAACATACTTAACTGAATTGTACACTTAAAATTGTTAAGAGAATAAATTGTAGGTGCATTTTAGCACAGTATTTTAAATATTTATCAAAATAAAAATGTTTCCCCGTTAAAAAAAAGCAGCATTCTACATATAATCACTTCTAGGATACTTGAAAGTTGACTTAGTATCCTAATTATAGGTATAATATTGATTTTGACTAGTTATCCAATAGAAAGTATCTCTGAAGAATTACAACCTTGGATAAGTCATTGCTGATTCTTAAAGAGAAGAGATAGAAATTGGTTTAATAAAGAATTTAAATAATTTACTTGTTTAAAAAATATAGTTTTGCTGGACACAGTGGCTCACATCTGTAATCCCAGCACCCAGGGAGGCTAAGGCTGGAGGATCACTTGTGTCTAGAAGTTTGATACCAGCCTGGGCAACATGACAAAACCCCATCTCTACAAATACTACAAAAATTAATTAGGCGTGATGGCAGGTGCCTTTACTGCCAGTTACTCTGGAGGCTGAAGTGGGAGGATCACCTGAGCCCAATAGTTCAAGGCTGCAGTGAGCCATGATCACACCATTGAACTCCAGTCTGGGTGACAGAGCAAGACTCTGTCTCTAAATAACAATAATTATTCTAATAATTTTGAATGATGTAAAACGTTATTAACCCCAAGTGTTCTTCTATATCAGTGATTGTCAAAATGTGGTCCCTTGACCAAAAGCATGATGTTCACTAAAGATCTTCTTAAAAATACAAGCTCTTGGGTCCTAACTCAGAATTACTGAATCAGAGATTGTGAAAGTGAGGCCCAGCCTTCTATTCTAGATCAGCTAGGATGAGATGTTATCCTAGAGTTGGGTCAATTAATTCTCCTTGCTATTCTCACTCCAGTTGCACCTTAATGTCTAAGGATTCATGTATTCAGCAAATATTTATTAGTCATCTACCCTACTCAAGACACTTCTCTCAGAATGGTTCAGAGAACCAAAGAGCAAAACTGTCACATACATACTTGAACGTGTATCTAGTATGACAATAGATAATAAACAAAGAAACAACTTAATTATGCTCTACCATCAGGTAGCGCTCTAAATGATAATGAGGACTGTGAAGATGAGGGTGTGGTCTTACCCAAGGAAGTGCTGGTGAGGTGCCATCTGAACAAAGATGACAGTGCAGTGAGGAAGTGAGCCTCATGGAGCACAGGTGAAGCTGAGCCTGGTCGTGGTCCAAGTTTATGCTGGACAGAGGTACCAACTCAGGAGCACATGATGTAGAGGCAAAAAGATAATCCATTTTTCATAACCATCACAAGGGGCATGGCTGATGTTTCTATAGCAAAAACAGCTTAGCAAGAGAAAAACCCAGGGGAAACTTATGATTTTATGCTAAGTCGAATGAAAGAAATGAATACATGTGACTAAATAGAATTGGAATAAAATATAATCTAACCGTAATCAACGGAAAGTGGTGGGGGTACTCAACAAGGCCTGTATTTTTGGATTCTTCTTGCTCCCTGTATGTAGCATTTCTTCCTTCCACACATAGGGCAGAGCACCTGTCATATGAAAGTCTATCAGGGAGAAGAGAAAAGGTCAGTGAGTGAGCGTTCTAGGTTTCAAGGTTTGATGTAGGAGAGGATTTCAGTTTCTTTGACTCACCTGGCTGCAGGTCACAGGGCAGGGGATTAGAGAAGATCAGAAGGACCTTGTTTCTGAGGCCCTCTCAATCTCCTTCAGTTCAAAGTACTCAGCATTCCAAGGCGCCGTATTTTAGAATATTATGTTCTGACCCCCAATGGTGTTGAAATTTCCTTCTTTTTTGTTTTGACAAGATGTAAATTCATCAGGAAACCAGTGTTTCCTATCTTATTAAAACCTTCCGAGAGTATCTAAAAATGATAAAGCATGTCAGATTGTTTTTGGAGACTAGCATAACACCAAGAAAAAAAAAAACTTTCTTTAGCAGTTCTGAACAATGAAAAACAAAGAACAGAAATACACAAGTTTTGAGCAAATGAAAGGATCACAACTCCCAATATGAGATATTTTTTTTTTAATCTTGAAGAAAGTCTACAGGCATAGCCTGTACTTTTTTGATATTTTTCTATTATATATTATGTTTTCTCTGGGTTTCTAATATAAATTTTATTAAAATAAGTATTTTCTTTTTCTATTCTTAGACGATGCCTGAGATGTTATCAGAGAAAGGGGTCAAAAATATTTTTAATCAGCTTTTGTACTTATGCTCAACATTGACCTAAAGAGCATAGCTGAAAAATAAACAAGCAAAAGAAAGGTGGAAGAGAGAGAGAAGGAAAGAAAAGAAAGAAGGGAAGAAAGAAAGGAAGAGATAAGAAATCAATAAAAAGAAAAGGAAGAGAAATGCAAGGCATACATGTGGACAGATATCTTTCTAAAATTTTTTAAACCATAAATATTTCTGTTTGAAACATCCTAATACCTAAATTTCTGAAAGCATACTGGATAGCCCCGTAAGTATATGGCTTTTGCACAGACACAAGACAAAAACAGTCTTTTTCAGAGTGTCAAACTGCCATCCCAGAAACAAGTTGTGGAAATTTACATTTCCTCCAACGGTAAAGACAATTGCCTCAATGACTTTGGGGATTAGTAGGATTGTTTTTATTTCTGTTTTTTGGGGACAGGGTCTGGCTCT